CCAAGCTTAAGTGAAGTCTCTAGTTGAATTACTCGCCTGTTCAATTGTCTCTTCATAATGTTATTTTTTAAAGTTAAGATTAACATAACCTTGTTTGGAAAGATATTTAGTATTGTTCCTGGCTCATCTCTGTTCTTTCTCATCTTCCAAAGAGAGAAGAAAATGCAGAATGTTTCAGGACTCAGATACTGGGGTGGAAGTTGGTGTTCATGTTCAGGACTAGATAATACACTTTTATGTTCAAATCCAAACTCTAATCAGTTTGGTGTAGTGGTTAAGTGCGTGGACTCTAATCTGGGAGAACCGGGTTTGATTCCCCACTCCTCCACTTGCACCTGCTGATGTGACCTTGGGTCAGTCACAAGCTCTGGCACAGCTGTCCTTGAAAAAAAGAGCAGTTTGTGTCAGAGTGCTCTCAGCCCCACCCACCTCACAGGGTGTCTGTTGTGGGGAGGAGAAGGGAAAGGAGTTTGTAAGCCGCTCTGAGACTCCAAGTGAAGGGCGGGGTATAAATCCAGTCTCTTCTTCTTCTTCTAATCCTGGACTTGATTTCAAGAGAGGTAGTAGTGAACTGCTAAAGTACTGGCAAGCTATACTAATCAAATATATTGGATAGCACATCCTGGGGAAATTGTAGTATGGGGAACCAAAATAGCATGTACCTATGTGAACAAGCTTTTTTGGGAGAATAAGCTCTACTGATATAAAAAGCTATTGTAAGTCTGCACACTTTGAGTGTTGTTGTTGTTCAGTCACATAGCTGAGTCCGACTCTTTGCGACACTTTGAGTAAATACTATCAATTTGATTTTTAATATGGGACTTTCGGTCAAGATGGTGACTGGTGCAGATGTCCTCCTGAGATATTGCTCCTTTAAATTTGTTTTTAAAATCTGTTTTATGTGATAAGTTTGTGGAGGAACATGAGTTGGGTACAGTAGGCCCCATACCACAGGATTTTGCAAATGCTCCCTTATTTTAGCCCAATCAAATAAGGGTTGCATTTTCATCAATTCAGACGGGAGCTTGGACAGAATAGAAAGATGCAATGGAGAATTAAATTTGTTGTCCTGAAACCTCATGGGTTTGGGTAACAAATTTCATGACTCCGAATTTTTCATGTTCGTGTAGAGGTATGATATTTTGTGCCTGCAGGAAGCTTGGTCATCGGAGTCTCGTCCCCCTACACTCCAGGGCTATTTGTGCCTTTGATGTCCCAGCTGTTAAAACTTCTGTTAAGGGTCAAGGCAGTTGGGGTTTGGAAACTTTTGTCTTAGTGGACTAAAGGGTAGATGTGGAGCCACAGATTATGTTTGCTGGCTCAAGGTTTGCTTATAGGATCCCTTCTCTGTATTAATGTTTATATCCCACCCAAACATTCTGTTAGAGAATTTTTAGGACAGGTTGAATTTTGTTAAATGATTTGTCCTTTCAGAATTTGACCTTCCTAATTCTCATTATATGTGGAGCTCTAAATACCAGAATTGGTTTGGGTGTATCTGATCTTATGGAGCAGTCGATAATAAGATTTCTGAGCAAGCTATTCTCTTCAACTGGACGACATAGGACTCAACAAACTGAGTATAAGAGTGCTAGAATTATTCTCCTTTCATCAGCTGCTTAGTCTGCATGGTACTAGGTTTGATATCTCACGGGGAACATTTATATATCTTTCTTCTTGAGGTACAAGAAGGTATATTATGTCAGCTTTGCTTCTGATTCATATGCACTGTTCTGAAGTTAGTAATAGGGTTGAAAACAATCACTGACCTGTAAGTTTAGTGTTTGACTTAGAGGATAGTATTGTTCTTAGCAACATGATCCATTAGTAGGATCTCAGCTTGGTGTAAGGAATTCTAAATGGTTCCCGTGATTACATACTGTCCTTGCCCAGGCTTTTGGAGGTGGGAACTTTTGAGTCTCTTCATCAAGAACTATTGAGAAATGCTTTGAGACCATAATTCAATTATTTAAACCCTTGTTTATTAACAATATAACCCTTTGAAATCACCTGATTGCCATGTCAAGGGTGGTTTGGAGACCAAGTCCTATGAGGAAAGGTTGAAGGAGCTGGGTATGTTTAGCCTGGAGATGAGACAATGGAGAGGTGATATGATAACCATCTTCTGGTACTTGAAGGGCTGTTGTATAGATAATGGTGTGGAGTTGTTTTCTGTTGCCCCAGAAGGTTGGATCATAACCAACAGGAGGAAATTTAACCAAAAGAGTTTTTGGCTAAACATTAGTAAGAACTTCCTGACAGTTAGAGCAGTTCCTCAGTGGAACAAGCTTCCTCGGGAGGTGGTGGGCTCTCCTTCTTTGGAGGTTTTTAAACAAAGGCTAGATGGCCATCTGACAGCAAAGCTGATTCTGTGAGCTCAAGCAAATCATGAGAGGGAGGGCAGGAAGGATTGCATCATTGCTTAGTTCTTGTGGTCCTTTCTTACATGCCCAGGGAAATGCTGATTGCCACTTTGGGGTCAGGCAGCAATTTTCTCCAGGCCAGCTTGGCTGGGGATCCTGGAGGTTTTTTTGTCATATTCTGGGCATGGAACAGGGGTTTCTGGGTGTGCGTGTGGGGGGAGGTATTTGTGAATTTTCTGCACCTTGTGAAAGGGGTTGGTCTAGATGACCCTGAAGGTCCCTTCTAGTTCTATGATTCTATGACAATGTAGGGCTGCTAGGAAAACTTACATTACACTTGGTGGTTTCACTGGCAAAAATCTGGAATACCTCCAGACTTCCTCACACAGTTTATATCAGCTTATAAAAAACCTCTTAAAATGAAGACATTCAACTATGTAAACATGCAATGGCAGCAATTAGCTGTTCAAGGTAAGAAAGTCCTGGATCTAGGTAGATCTTTTCCTGGTTGGGATGCACAGATTTCTGCAAGTGACTGGCGTACATGCTTATTTGGTATTGTACTTGGTATCCTGCCCCTCCTGGACCCAGTAACATGCCTTCCTTATCTTAATGTCCTCCCATCTCAGAGTCTGAGTTAAAGGTCTTACTGTTTCTCTTTCTTTTGATAAATCCCCCTATGAAGATTTGATCCCCGCGGAGACGTATCAGTATTTTTTTCTGTCTAGTGGTCACCTGTTTTGTTTTACCCAGATTTATTCTACTGGTATTTTCCCTACCAGTTAGAAACAGAGCTTTGTTGTGTCTATATTTAAGAAGGGGTGCAAATCAGTTCCCCTAAGCTATAATCCAGTTAGCTTGTTGGACATAGCCTCCAAACTGTACAGCAAATGTTTCCTGTGTAGAATGGAGGATTGGGAGATTTTCAATATGTTATCCATCCAGAACAAGCAGGGTTAGGAAAGGGTTAGGTACTATTGACCACTGTTTGACTATTTATCAGTTGGCTCAGCTGAGTATTAAGGGTCCCACCAAGTCCATGCTTGTGATATTTGTAGATCTAAGTGCTGTTTTGACTCAGTTGATCAGAATCAACTGTGGGCGAAATTAGCAGGCACAAACATGGGCAAATGCTTATTGGTCCTGTTTGGGGATTTCATTCTGATGTTCTTACTAGAATCAAGTTGGGCCCCTTCAGGACCCTAACTGAGGAGATGCCAAATACACAGGGGGATTAAATAGGGATGAGTCTTCACCCCTGCTTTTCAATTTTTATTTAAATGTTATTGTTCCAAGCATATCAAGCCCTGAATTCTTCCCACCATCCTTGGGTGGATGGAAGGTAAGGTAATAGTCCTCTTATGGTATGGTGCTGATGTCCTTAACCTGTATCAGTTTAAGAAGGATGCTGCACAGATTGGGTAATTTCTGTAAGTGCAATGCTTTAAACATCAATTTTGCCAGAATCAAGATAATGGTCTTGGGAAGAGATCTTAAATAGGCAATAAATGGCAGTTCCATTGAACAATGCAAAACCTTTAAATATTTCAGGGTGACTTTTAGTAAAGCCATTAACAGAAAGCCCACTTGGAGATAACAAGATCTTTAGTTTTGAGAACCACAGGTGCCATCTTGAAATTTTACAGCTTGAAAGGAGGATTTTTGATTGAGCCAGTTTGGAAATTGTTCCAGGGTAAGGCCATTCTGCAGCTCCTATATGGTGT